CCTCTCCATTTAAGCCCTCTCTATCCACACATTTGAGGAGGCAACGGTGAAACAATAGCTGATCAGATGGAGCACTAAGACACTTCGGCGATGGTAAGGAGGACGAGTACACAGGGCTGAGCTGTTGGAAAGTTACACCAATGGCTTGTTGCTATGGTAAACATAGAGAAACAACAGCTTGAAGATATATGTTTATATATATGCAGTATTTAGAAGAGTCAGATGTAGTCACACAGGCAGGAAACCCAAAAGCATTGTCTCCTTTCAAAGCTCCATAGTGATACCTTGAGTTTTACACCGCAGTAGACATAATAACACAGCGAGCTACATAATCCATACTGCTTGGTTATAGGACTACATCATTCAATAAAACACTGCGTGACGACGAGTGACATGAAAGGCTGGCGATACAGCTAGATTGTAATTACCTTGTTGTGTTTGTCACCTGACCTCACACCCACCACATACTGTACGGCTGATGTAGTAGACAAACTGGCAGAGGAAAACCAGCTAGAAGAAAATAAAAGTGACTGGGCTTTACAGTCCAATAGTAATAATACATCATAATGTTGATCTATGTTTGTTTTCTTTCTAAATCTGCAAAATAAATGTAACAGGCTATAAAGGACATTACAGTATTATAGTATGTAGCATATTCATATTTATTTACATCTGTATATATGTTACCAGTTAAATATTATTCTATTTTTATTTCAATTTATATTGTTACTTACATTTTGCATATTTCTGTGTGCACTTGTACCTGCCAATCATCTGTTTGTTATTGATGTTGCTACATTGACACCTGCATATGGATACTAAAGGTTTATCTTATCTTACAATATGTTTGTATTTATTGGAGTAAAAGTATAGCACTAAATGTAAATAATCAAGTAGTAGAAGTAGCTTGAAATTGTACTGAAGTGTGGATTGATCCGGTACCAGTTTGACAGCTGTTGTTCGTAATGAAACAACGATTCCTTGTATAACACAAACTTCTAACACAAATTAGCTACGGATAAAACGATGTAGTGTGTAGTTAAAGGAGAAGAGACTGGGTTACAGAGTGCATATTCATTGAAATGCCAATCAGGCCAATACCTTGTGACATTTCTGCTCTTTCTCTTTTCATGATACAGCTAATGCGGCCCAGCATGGGCAGTCATACTTCAGGAAGCCGTGTAATGCAGAAGCTCTAACACAGTAAGGCACACACACGACAGTTTAATACATCTGCGGTCTTTGCAGCCAGCTCTAAAACACGTTATTGAAAAATCTTAAAGTATTTGCTGTTTCTAGCAGAGCTGGTTATCCGTTTGTTCATTAAAGTAACAATTGAACAATGTAAAAATGCTCCACTACAGTCCTAAATAAATAAATAGTAAGCTGCATCATGTTTGTTAAGTACTACGTTTCATCTATCATTGTACTTATGCACTTACACATTTAAGTAAATAAAGTGCCTGTGAATCAGACACTCCTATTAATAAAAAGATGATATACTGTAACTGTAGTATTTCTTTTTTCTGCACTGATTTTGTTTATGCACCCACACGTTTTTCCCTGGAACATCTAGTTTCTTTTTTCAGCGTTTAAATGTATCTTTTAACTGCTCAGGTAATTATTGTTCATTATATTAATGGATGATCTTACCGATGAATTCATGTAGGAGTGCATTTTACTGATGCAACTGCTCAAACTGGAGCTAATTTTAACCACGCTATATACCGCTGGGTGTCATTTTGAATTCATTAATGTTTTAACAAATAAACATTAAATGTGGGGAAGGTAATTTTGGAGAAACCGGCTCGAGTGCACTAGAATTTGAAAATACACAGCCGGAAAAAATCTGCCACTTCCTTACAGAGCCCCTCCTCCAACACACACGAACGCGCACATGACCAATGAGGGCACGAGATAAGTTTGTGCACAGATGGAAGGCTGACAGGCAGGTAGGGCATCCAGTTACTTTAGCCGGGTCGGCTCTAATTATTGGTTGTGCTTTTTACAGTACTACGGCTTCCACAGATGACATTTTTGTATGGATTTTTTGTCAAAGCACTTAAGATATTCATTGCTATCGGGATGTTAAGAGCATTCCATGGAATATAACAAAATGTGTATCTCGAGCCATTTTCTCAAACTTACCTACCCCACCTTTAAGTATTTTTTAACAACATCTGTCAAATAAATGCATTAGTGGAAAGTGTCTAAGTACATTTACTTATACTGTACTTAAGTACAATTCTGAGGTACTTAACTTAAGTATTTCCATTTAATGCTACAATTATACTTATACTACACTACATGTCTGGCAGTGGCTCAGTCAGCTTGGACTGGGAGCCGTAGGGTCGCCCGTAGGGGCTTGGACTGGGAGCCGTAGGGTCGCCGGTTCAAGTCCCCGAACAGACCTAAATATGGAGTGTGGACTGCTACTTGGAGAGGTCCCAGTTTAGCCTCCTGCCCTGCCGTGGTGCCCTTGAGCAAGGCACCGAACGCTGCACAATAGCTGCCCACTGTTCCGTACTAGACTCCTGGTACTAGGATGGGTTAAAAGTAGAGAACCATTAAAGAGGGTTTCATCCCTCTCAATTCTTCTATGTCAGAGGGAAATATTTTACTTTTTACTCTACTATATTTAAGTTACAAGTTAATGTGCAGATTAAGGTAACGACAAAATATAAATACAAATATAAATGATGATGTAATAAGCTTTACCAGGTGCCACCATAAGTTATGTGCACACACATTAATGCATCATTCATTGAATCCAATAATATATTTCTCAAATGGGCCATACTACATAATGAGTTGCCTACTTTACTTTTGATAATATTGGTGCAGGAATGAGTCCTAAACCTGGAATTTTAGCACTTACAGGAGATGTTCACGTTTTGTTATACGACATAAAATATGTCACTAAATATCCTACTCAAGAATGTCCAAAGCTTTTACTTAAAAACGGCGGTTGCTAACAAGTGTCTTAATGGAAATACTAAACGTCACATCGAACAAGAGTCAACCTTCAGCTCAGCAATGGTGATGTGAAGTCATGTGACAGTGATGATGCTCATGTTTAACATTACATTAACTATTTACATATGGTGTCTGCATTTACCCATCAACTATTATAAAAGTGATTGTAATATTTAGAAATCATAATTCTGACAAAATGTGTAAGTATCATAAATGTGTTTTTGTCGAGGGAGCCCTTGAGATGCTATCTCATTTAAGATAAAAATACATCATCACTGCACCACTCTATGTACTTTAAGATAAGTTGAATGCATGACTTTTACTTGTAGGTAACAGAGCAGTAATATGTGAGTATGCAATATTCCCCCTGTAATGTAGTGGGGTATAATAATGAATCAAAAATAAATTAGTTCCTTGTATAAACTGTAAAAAGCTTCCAGGGTACACAATCCACAAACTGCAACCATTTGAGACGTTTTTCAAACATTCATGCTGACAATTTGCATGACAGTAATCCAAATATTAATATATTCCTGTATCACTGTTTGCGCAGTACTGCTTCAGTTATTGGATGACTCCACAGGGTCTCAGTGTGAAAAGACTTTTGAAGCTCTGTGCCCTTTGACGTCATACGGATGTTTGTGATACTGTACAGCATCTTGTCTAATCACTCCCTGCAGTAGCCCTGACGAAGCCGTTTTCTTAACACCCACCATCCTGGATGACAGCCAGCTGGGTTTTTCTTCAAACTCTCTGCTACAGTATCATCACGGCTGTTGGCTCCTTGGCAGCAGATATGACATTGACACCTTGGTGAGAGCCTACAGCCTCCCACCAACAGAGCTGTGTTATACTGTCGGACACCCTGAGTTTTTCTCGGTTCGTACCGCTCACTGCAGAGTTTGCATGCCTGTATTCTCCAGCTGTTTATCAGAGGTGCAAATAATCTAGTATATTTAAAAGTGTGAACAGGTTCACAAAACAGTAAAAGGTGTATTTGTCATTTAACCTCTATTGCGATGTGTAAGCTCTTCTGGATGCCCAAGCACTCCTCTGCTTACACTGCCACTGACATTGTTCAGTGTGCCATCCAAAGATTTGTGCTTTCGATTGAGCTGCGGCTGAATTATTAATCAGTCATCCACTTCCACTGACAACATGGGCTTTTAATTGTAAGGTCTCTTGTTCGACAACTACAACTGAAAGACAGGCCTCAATACAAACCGGCTATCGATCAACCCCCCCCCGCCCCTTCAGCCTCAGGATTTTATCCGCACAGAGATCACAGTGACAGAGGTGCCAAGATACATGTTTCTTACATACCAACATTTTAGATACAAGAAACAAATTGAACTCCTAATTATTCCATCAGTACCTGTGATGAAACTTTAAAGGGAAGAAATAAAAAGTATGCTTATGTGATTTTAATTTTACACTCATCAGAAGCCATGCAAACAAGTTCAAGTAAATGCTCATTTAAAAGCTGATTAATTCAAAATCTGCACTGAGTTAAAAGCTGACAGATGTGCCTAATTGTTCTCAAAAGAGACATGTTTTCCACTTTTTAAACACTAAATCCAGTTGCTATTTTTCCCTAGAGGCAATCTTAAAAGCAATAATTGAATAACTATGTCAAACATTGAATATGCACATATATATGTTTATCGTTTCCAAATGTTTCAGATTTAAATATATTCTACTTGCCATTGCCTTAATAAACTGACTTTGGCTCTGACAGCATGAAGCAAGCTCAAATCCAGAGACACATTCATGATAAAACCAGGCTGTTGACATGACATTCACAAATCATATATCGGAATGTTGCAGCTACAGACACAGGCATGAGTCGACAGGTGAGGAGTGACCTATATTAAACAAGCAAATCGTCAATTTTAATTCAAAAGGTTTGAGGATTGACGATGTCACAATGCAGCCTGCTGATGAGCTCCGATTACAGCCGTCAGTTTTTTTGACTAAAACCCTGCAACGCCCGATGTAAAACCTAAACGTGTCAACAAGCTTACCTTTTTCATGTTATTGTGTTCAGCTGCCGATGGGTGTCGGTCACACGGCAATAGTTATCCAGCTCTTACATGTCGGCCGTAATGCCACTGTCTGTCGGGAAGGTAAACAAGACGCTCCTAAAACATTGCTAGAAATGTTTTTTTATCCTTCAGATGAATGACACATTTTCTCCGCGGTCCTTGCTTGTCGGTCCTTCCCCTACAGTTCAGCCGGTGTTCTGTGAGAGCTCGCCGGCTCACAGCGGATCCATCACGGCAGACGGCAGGAAAACGCAGTTTGGAGGCTGCCGGTGATGCTGCTGCAGCGTTGAGTCCGTCGAGACGCGGGATGAGAGAGGTGGGGGTGGGGGGCATCCGAGGGCCCACGACTAAACACTCAGCTCCGAAATATTAACCCGAAATCTCGGTCTCCTGAGCAAACAGTGGTTGATGAATCATTATGCGCACACTAAAGGCAACATGCGCGTGTTTTTTATTCTTTCGCGTTTGTCTGAGGAGTGATGCTCTGTGATGAGTCAAGGAGAGAGTTAAAGGGAAAATTCATTCAAAAATAAAAATGTAAGGTTGTAGTCTACTCTTTGGGATTTTAGTTATGTCAGACAGTTTACATGAATTAATCGGAGTCACTATTAATTCTACCTAGTCTTCATAAAAAAAACTATTTCCCAGATGCCGAAAGTGTCATATTAAAATTGCTTATATTGTCCCAAAAATATAATGTAAAAAAAAAAGAATTCAGTTAATAATTATAATACAAGACAAAAAACAAAACCATCTCATCTAAAAAAAATGGATCCTGCATTTTAGCGTGACTTGAATTATTTGATATCTAAATACATTTTCTGTCGATTGAATAATCTATCGTTTCAGTTCAAAACACGACTGACTCACTGACTCAAGCTATTTTTTTTTGTTTGAGGGTTTTTATTCGAATGACTTTTATGCGAATGAGTCAGGAAAAAAGCCCCCACAGGGCTGCAGACAGCGTTTTAAAAATACTGACGTCAAGATTCAAACACTCTAAAATGTTTCAGTATGGTAACACTTCAAATAGTCATTTGTAAGCACTAGTCATATATCTAAGCACTAATAAAAAGTTTGCAAAAAAACATTATATTTAAGTGTTAAAGGTGGGCTAGATAAGTTTGAGAAACCGGCTCGAGATACACTTTTTGTTATATTCCATGGAATGCTCTTAACATCCCGATAGCAATGAATATCTTAAGAGCTTTGACAAAAAAATCCATAAGTGGAAGCCGTAGTACTGTAAAAAGCACGACCAATCATTTTAGCCGGCCCGGCTAAAATAACTGGATGGCCTACCTGTCTGTCAGCCTTCCATCTGTGCCCAAACTTATCTCGTGCCCTCATTGGTCATGTGCTCGTTCGTGTGTGTTGGAGGAGGGGCTCTGTAAGGAAGTGGCAGATTTTTTCCGGCTGTGTATTTTCAAATTCTAGCCCACTCGAGCTGGTTTCTCCAAAATTACCTACTTACCTTACCTAATGATTTTATTCTCTTAAAAAGCTATTTGTAACTTGTTTAAACACTGAATGCTTGATAACACATAACAAGCTGCAGGTCACATTATTACCCATATAAACAAATCCTTAAGGTGTTATAGCATTTATGTATTCAAGTATCAGTACAGTAGGGAGGTTTGTAACTCGGAAACTGTTCAAAACTCATGGAGACATGACAAGCTTCATCCTGGAAATACAAAAATGTGCACTTACCAGATTTATTTTCGCCTCATCAGGCCTTCATCAGCAGATGGAGATTACTCACTGGTCAGACGAGAGTAAAGTCGTTTTACAGCTGTGTTACAGTATACTATATTGTTAATCATTTAATATCTGTGTACACCAGTTGTGCAGTTGTTGATAAATACACACTGATTAAGTGTAATGCTCTGTTAAAATACAAAATACCAAAATAAAAGTATTTATTATGCAGAAAGGCACATTTTCAGAATAATATAGGCCTATTTGAACATAATTGAGGTTTTAATGTGTAGCCTACGTCACATTAATGTTGAACCCATTTACATTGAACAACTTTGTATGCCACATTGTATCGGCTGGGTTGCTTGTGAATCCAACGTTGAATCCCCTTGGTATCAAAAATAGTATCTTTAACATATTAGGCTACAGTACACCATCATGTATTTGATGGTTTTGTGATTAACATTGGTATTACTAATTTGAACATTCAAAGTAATTTAGGCTTTAATTGTTCCCAAAAAGCAGTAAAAAGTACAAACTGTAAATAAATATATTCCTCCAAAATGTATTGTATACAAAGTAGAAGAAAATGTAAAATACATACAGGTACCTGCAAGTATCTCAAGTAGCCTATTTGTTAAGTAGCCTACAGTAGTAGGAGTGGATGTTTCCATATTTTTGATAGTGGTCTGTTGACAGCCGCAACAGGCAGCTGTTTAGTAAATAAGCTAAACATTAAATAAGAAGGGATTCAAACAGAGTTTTGGTGTTTACTTGTTGACCACCAAACTGCAGACAGACAAAGTTAGCGGCTAACTAACGCCGGATAGCTAACTAGCTAACAGCGTCTGTCTGGCTAACTAGCTAACAGCGGCTAGCTAACAGCTGAGCAGCTAGCTAACAGTTGACAGCGGCTAGCTAACATCAACACGTGAAGTTGTGCACCAAAACTGGCTCCAGGATTTCCTCAGGATTTGTTGGAGATCACAACGGACTTAAGAAAAGAAAGGGTACGTACATTGGACTTACAATTCTCAGGTGTCCAGTAACAAGACTAAATGCATGAGTATCTTGCTTCAAATGTTCTGGGTTTGAAAACTAAAAACGTATGAGACTGTTTCCAAAAATGTTCTCCATACCAAAATGTTTTATCGACGTTGTGTTCACAGCATGTGTACACTGCTCCCAGATGGTTAAATAAGCGTCATGAAATATATATACATTTTATTTTTGGATTATTGTTGTTTATTTAATACTTTTTTGGATTTCTTTAATTCAGTCAGTTACATGTAATGTTAATTTTATTTACCAAAGTTTTCTCCTTGCAAAGTCTGGGGTAAATGTTGAACACAACTTTTATGTATTATATTGGCCTAAAAATTTGTCAAATTAAAATATTTAACATTAAACCTGAAAATGTGGGAGTTATTTGTAATGTTAGCCTCCCAAATTCTCTCAAATAATACAGAGGGCACTGTTATGATTGTTTACATTCTCTGTTATTCCATACAAAATAACTATGGAAGCTTGCAGTCACTTAATTATACACTTTATATTTGTTTGCTTATGAATTACATCATCGCTTTCGATGTCCAGATAATTAGTCTTAATTACATTAACTCAATATGTGAAGGCAATGATTTTGTCTTTAATCTATACATTAATGGCTACTCATCATTTTTTTTTTTAAATGAATAATGGCCCTGCAGATGTTTGGAGGCACAAATAGAGTTCTGTGCCACATGAGTATGACTAATCTCCAGTTTGAAATCAAACTGACAATAAAAGACAATCTGTCCTCTCCAGAGTAATGCCCAGTAGCACAAGCATTAAGGATGGCTGATTGGATAAGACCATGACTAATAACTCTGCATCTGCTCCAAGGGTATCCAAATGGGCGTTGTGTTGTAAGCTGAATACTTTTGTTTGTTCACCGTGGCCTATTCCATAGGGTTGAGCTAAGTTATCTGACCATAATCCCCACACATATTGTCTCAACACGCCAGACAGTCAGTTCAGCTACATTGGACTGTGACTTTTTATAGAATAGAATCGGGGGGATGAACCCCCTCTTTAATGGTCACACATGCAGAGCACACAGCACACAGAGTGACATTTGGCCTCTGCATTTAACCCATCCTAGTACCAGGAGTCTAGAACTAGGAGCAGTGGGCAGCTATTGTACAGCGCCCAGGGAGCAATGGGAGTGGGGGGGATGTCCGGTGCCTTGTTCAAGGGCACC